TCATTCGGAAACATTTTGCGAGCGGTAACTTTACGCTAGTTCGCGATAGCTAACGCAAACAATTTAATGCAGACAAATAGGGAAACAAACGAAACATAAAGTTACCCTGCAGCAAATGTATCTAACTATAAGCTAACTTTAAGTTGTTTAGGAAGGGGCTATAAATCACTTATTATCTGTATATTTTCTTTGGCGAAAGCTAACTACATAAATAAATTTCTATGGCGATGGCCGCGAAATAATCCAGGGGTTGTTATCTCTGCAGTTGATGTATGTAACTAACTTGTAACTAACTACTTTTGGGCATAAAATATCAATAGGAAAAACAAAATATTTTTTTATATTCTTTTATTTTATCACAATTCATATTTGTGTTTACATATTCTGCTGTAGGTGATCCCATATTCGAACTCCTTCAGACATAACTTCAAAATGATAATAAGAAATTTCGATATTCCTTTTATTTGTCCTCAATTCGAAAAAGTATTTGCGAAATGCAAGATATTTAAATAGAGAAAACAATCTCGAGCTTTACTCCTGCATTAATTTTCCACTTGTTTCAAGTTAGATTTTTGTAGCTAACTACCAGTTATATATTGTATAGAAATCCCGCAAAAAAGTTAAGTAGGTTATTTTTTATCAATTGATAATTTTTTTCTGCAGGATAGTGCTCACAACACAAAACGAAACGATTCCTTTAGTGATCCCCTAGTATACATACATACATATGTTTGTATGTACATATGCTGACTTCCAAAACAACAATTGCTTTGCATACGTACAAAGTATAGGGTTCCATAACGTCGAACTACAAAATATTGACAATGTATACTGTTCCAAAACGCAACCGAAAAGTTATCGAAATGCATCGCTAGAACAATCAGCGCATCAGAAACAAAGTTGATGCTTCGTTTGTTATTGGTTAGCATTGGAGTTTTTGGAAATGGAAAATTCAAAAAAATTGTTCATTACTATATTGAATAATTAAAATATGCAATGTATATGGTTTTAATGTGTCGCAACTCTGCATATACAAACAGTTTCAATACCGCAGTATAATAGTTTCCAAACATTGTATTCATAAGTTTTGGAAGCAGGGTGTCCAGATTGTTTATAAAAAATCGCAATTTCTGAAAAAAAAATTGGCAAAAATCACCAAAAATCGCCCTTTTTTTAATAAAATTCATGAAACCAAAAACGAATATAATACCTTCAGAGGGCGCAATTATTAAATTTATTATAACTCATATTAATTGATTAATCGCACAATCCACTTTAAAGAGCTCGGCGCTAAAAATTAATAAAAACCTATAATAAGACGAAATCAGCTATTTCCACAATTTCTTCAAAATCACCTATAGTGTCTGAATGATTTACATTTCTGTTGTTACCATATATTGAGCTATTCAACCTTAATAACATACTGTTTGATATTGGAAACGTTTTACAGCAGGAACTATTAGCCTTCATATAACACTTTATTCGAACTATTGAATCAAAGCTTTCGAATCTTGAATTCATTACGGAGAAAACGCACCCAACATAGCATGCGAGTGCGGCAAGAAAATAATATGAATTTACTTATATTTCCAAACACCGTAAGCAATCATGCAATATTCTTCAGAGTCGGATCCATAAAGTTTGACAACTATTCAGGTTGAAAAAAATAAAAATCAAACATGATGAAGTTAATAAAAAAAAATAATCAAGAACAAAAAAATTCGATTTTTGAATCTATCTCACACTCTCGTAGAAAGCTGAGGTAATTACGCACATTTTGATACCCTAACTGATTTTCTCCGACAAATAGTTTATTAACTGCAAGCAATTAAAAAAGATACTTCTCCATGAGTTCAAAATTTCGGGATTTTTGTTTTGAGATTTTCGAATATCATGACGAAATAAAAAAATAGGTGTCGTCTTGTTTTCGATAAAGATTGTAAAATAATATTTCACCCCAAAAAAATATTGAGGTGTAAATATTGTATGGAATGACCCATATATGTATATGTTCATATGAATATATTTGTGACTACTTCTTATATAGTGAACCTCAACTGTATATTGGTTGAAAATTAGTTAAATATTTAGTCAGAATATTCCTACAGGTTATTTTTGAAGCTCGTGGGAGATTCTTAATAACAAAGTAAGTCCATTTCGGCCTTTCACTCTGCCCTTCCTTTTAGTGTGCATTCTTTTGCATTGTATTGACGACTTGCTTTCCGAACTTTACATTTCTGTAAAATGGTTTAAACGAAGCACTCTATGTATAAGCTTTTAGCTTCATTTTCACCAATAAGTGATGGGCATATCGTGAAAATATAAGAGCATTCGTATATGTTTACTCGTGACTTCGCCACTATGTTCGACTTGTATTGCCACCATCATCAAATTGCTATGTATTACACTTTGGAATTCTTTACACGATAAAATCGTTACAGGCATCCATATGTGTGTACGTCAAATTCCATGGTAGTCACATATTTTAAGTAGATGTAAGACAACTCACTTTTCTGGCCCCCGTCTATAGGGGAATATACATATATGTATGTAAGTATGTATTTAATTATATGTAGTTGACACCCTGCAAAAATTTGAGGATCAGGTGGTCCACTGGGTCGTAGTTTTAAAGTATGAGCACAAGGACCAGGTTGCATACTAACTAGTAACTTGTTATGCTGACCTGGACCACTTCAAACGTAAAAAACTGATAAATGTGTTGAACACCACCTCTTCGTGGCCGATCGGCAATATGATTCGGTTGCCGAATGTGCCATGGTTCAAAAGGAGTAGTTGTCTAGGTGGTCCCATGTTATGCAGTGGTGGACCAAAAGTGGTCCCATGTTATGCAGCGTTGGACCAGAGGTGGTCAGGTCCAATGACATCGCAATGTTAATGTAACCATATTTTCTCCATATATTTGGACCATTTTGGTTACTAGTGTTGGTTACAAGGTAGTGTGGTCCTGTACTAGTACTTAACCTAGTCCCACTTTTTGCAGGGCATGTTTCAAATAATGTCCGATATGCCCAAGAAATTAATACAACAAAAAGATCAATAGTTTTATGGGCATATCGACGGGTCGTTACGTACCAGCTGCGACGGTTGTTTGTCGAGTGTTGTTAGTTATCTCGAAACTAACTTTCAGTTTAATAACAACAAATTTGAATATTCGAATGGCTCTTGCCTATAACTTGCAATTCTTTTTTCACAATTTACTGACATAGTAAACGAGCTTTGCATACAAGGCATGGAGTTATATACCCTTTCTAGCGAATTCTTAGTCTTTAAACGTTTTTGCGTACCTGAAAATATTAATTTAAGACATGAGGAATTATAGATGAAGTCCCTAAATAGTGGTATTTTACCACAGTTTGAAAAAATATGTATTTTTTTTTTAAATACTACACTCAAACAAAGCAACTGAGAGGATCTTATTTATAAACTTTGCTTCCTGGCGCAAAGAGAGAACCCGGCTTCTGATTAAAATTTTTTAAAGTGAACTGCAAATTCAATGTAAGTTTTAAATGAAATGTATAGCATTCTTTGACTACTTAAACACTGAAGATGGAAATGATCTCATTATGACTATTCAAAAATGTCATAGATATAAAATAATTTGTTGGCTTCTGTGTACAATGATGTGTACACTCAGGTGAATAACACTTTTATTTTTTACAAACTATATTTTATTTATATACCAAAATATTGTTAAAAACAATTATTCTGGCGTTTTAAAGTATTATCTGTTACTTACATTCATAATTTTGCTTTGAATAGAAATGTACTGAAAAGTACTGATTTTTTTAGCATGAAAAAGTATAACGTACCGATTTCGCCCATTTTCAATACCAACCCACCTTGGATAAGTGGCAACCCACATACCAAATTTATTTCAAGTTATCGTGTACACGGACAGACAGACGAGCGGACGGACAGACAGACATGGCTTAATCGACTTCTCTTTTCATTCTGATCATTTATGTATACATTCGTCCATATCTATCTCGATTCGTTTTGGCTGTTACAAACAACCGCTATGCGAACAAAGTAAATATACTATTGTGCACAAGTGCGCTTGGGTATAAAAACTGAAGCCGTTCGATAGCGACATACATACATAGCGACAATGTTTTGGTAGATTTCAGAATAATTTTAGGGGATTTTGAAAAATATTTGGGAGAAAACTTTTTAATGGTTGGTAATACTGGATTTGTAGCCGTAGAGATGAGATGATGCAAAATCCACCGTGTAATTCTTGTTCGAATGTTTCCTGAAAATATGGGCAAGATATGTTTAAATTCCTTTTGCATTTATATTTGCAACAAAAATTTTCGAAAATAATGTTTTGAAATGGGTTATCGTGATAGTTTTGACTTAAGAATGTATTAACATATCGACTGCTGAGTGGAAGATCGACCTATCTCGGCAGCCAGTTCGAAAACGCCCTACCTCAAAAAACTTCTCAAGAACGCCCTATTTAAGAATTCGTTTCAAAAACGACCTATCTCAGCTGCCGATTCAAAAACATCCTAAAACAGCACATTTTCAATACATTTTGAAGTAAGATAGAGTGTTTTTGAGCCGAATTCAGAGATAGGGTGTTTTTCAATAAAATTCTGAAACAGGGCGTTCTTGAAAAGTTTTTTGAGATAGGACGTTTTCGAACTGGCTGCCGAGATAGGTTGATCTTCCACTAAGCAGTCGACATATGTACATATAATATATTAATTTGTAAATAATTTTATGCATGTCTTTACCCTTTTTTCCACAAAATGTGTTATTTTACATCGAGGTCCTTTAGCAATAAAATGTGTCTTATGCCGAGTATGAAATAAATAACTTTTTATCATTTTATTTATTAGTGTTAATGTAATCTTAAAATAACAGCATACTAAGTACATATGTAAATTTGCTAAGCCAAAACTTAATTATATCAAACTAAAGATAAATCCATTATTTTGCTGGAATTCGCTAACATCTCTCATTTCAATTTCCAGAGGAGCGGGTATGGAATCAAGGCATGATTTACTCAATAAAAAGGCCGAGCGGGATTTGCAACATCATCAATTTCTAATGACAACACCGACTTGACCCGTTACAACAACGGCAGCCGCAGTGGCAGCACATCAGCAACAGCAGCAGCAGCAACAACAACAACAACAGCAAACACAGCAGCATCAACATTACGGAGCGCACTACCAGCAGCAACAGCAAACAGCATCAGCAGCCACTATACCAACGCATCATAACCACCATCACCAACAACAACAACAACAACATCACCAACAGCAACACCATCAGCAACAGCAGCATTATGCGGCAAGTGCAGCAGCCGCCGCAACATTAGCCGCCACACATCACATACCAACAACACTGATTGCGGGAGCAACACCAGCAGCGGCAGCTGCCGCCGGCGTATACTCCTATGTCCTGCCTGCCCCAACGCATATCGCAGCATAGTACGGCAATTACGGATATTAGTGGAGCATCCGGCCAAGTTGTGGCGGCAGGGCTGTGGTCAGTGTGGGGCCGAGTTGAGCTAGAGTCGGTAATTACAACAGGGTGTGGGCGCGGAGCTAAGCAGGAATAGTGCTGCAGTGAATACAACAATAACAACTGATTACACTCGAATAATACGCACTTATACATACACACAAACACTCATGCAAACATACAAAAATAGTTAAATTGCGTCGAGGCGCATTGAATTTTGGGTTTGTAAAAATAATGCGAAAGGCGTAGTACTCGTGGGCAATAGGTAATGTGAAGAGGCGTACGCAGCATGCAGGTGCATGCAAAAACGAGGAGCAAATTGTAAAAAGAGAAGCTAGAAAAAATTATTTAAAAAAGTACCAAAAATAAGTAAATAATTATACATACAGATATTTGAAATTTCTTAATTACTTGAAATAGATTGAGAGGCAGTTGAAATTTTACATGAAAATTCATAAGTATTGAATCTATGAACATGCATAAATATGTAAAATAAACATAAATGTATGTTTGTATTAAAAAAAATGTTAGTGCATGTACGCAGTTTAGTACAATTTGGTATAAAACAGAAAAAGTAAAAGCAATGTCAAGATTTAAGCGAGATTAAAAAAAAATCATAACTGTAAGAATGGAAGCATCTTATTTCCATCAATTGCAATTTTATCAAACTTAAAAAAAAAATATACAAAAAAATTACTGTTTGCAGAATTTTAACAGGCCCTGTTATTTCATTTTGAGTTTTCTTAAAAGTTTAAGTTCCTTTTCCAGGTGGTTTCAGCATTTCACAGCTGTAAACTAAATTTTTAGAGATTTTTGTTGCATATTTAGAAAGTAAAAATTAAATTTTATAACAAGGAATTGATAATATTAGTCAACAAGAATTTCTTAACCGCACAGTTCTGCTGATTTAAAAATATTTTTTATTTTTTTATTTTAGAGATTTCTAAAAAATTTAATTTATTTTATTGCAAAATACATACATATATCTAAAGAATTATAAAAAATGTATATTCATCATGAAAAGTGCATGTAATATGAATAACAAAAATATTGTCATAAGAGTACTTTAATGTGAAGTAAATGAATGATTAAAAAACTATTTATAGCTTAACCGAATGTGCCCTTTACATAGCTCTCTTTCTAGAATTATAAAAAAAATAATAATTACTAAAAATAATAAACACATAACATAACTACAAAACAAAATACTAAACAAAATTAAAAAATTAATTGGTGAGACCCGAAAATGACACTGTAAATGCTAACAAATAGAAGATATTTAATTTTTATTATTGTCCAAAACAATATACTAAATAAAAATCCTGAATCTGCTGGGTAGTGCGCATAGATACAATAACGCGTAGAAATTTTGATAATGCAAAATAGATAAACAGATTTCAAAGCGTATTGAAAGTATTAAAAAATTAGGATCCTGAAAACATAATAAGTAAATTAAAAAAAAAAACGCAAATGAAACTACCAACAAATCATAAGGTTTCCAAATTGTTTACGCAAAACGTACAACAAATAAATGTTGCATATATACATATGTATTTCTAGGCCGTAACTAAATGCAATCCCAATAACGGTAATGCAAAATTTTAAAGGCAGTTTGAAGGAAATCGAGACAGGAGATAATCCGCAGCTGTGCGGAACGGAAAAGGGAATGGAAATAGTTCAGAAGATATGCAATGGCATGCTGAGTTTAGATCGCGTGGCATTGAATGCGCGGAAGAGTCTATGTATCGCTAAGGCTGGAAACGAGAACTCAACGAGTCCAAACCAAGATAGAACTCTGAGCTAATTGACTAACTAACTAACAACTCATACTTATACATACTTAACAAGAATCGCTTTTCTACCACTATACCCGTTATTCGTAACTACATACATCCATACATAAATATATGTATAACTCTTTGGAAACTAGCAAGTCTGCAGGCCAATCTGAAACGAAACAAACGTAGCAATTTTTCCTTAGGACTATAGAGCATAACTATTGAAACTTATTAAAACTAACTTCCGCCCAGTTTATAAAAACTCAACACACAAAATAAACAACTAACGACGAAATCAATTCACTGACAAAATACGAAATGAGATGAACAAATTGGATGAATGAAGTTGGCGACACAGGAAACTGCAATAAAATTTCAATAATCAGCTGAAGAAAATTGAATAGAATGGATAGCGAAAAAGAAGTTTGACTAAGCGTGAGGGAAAAGAGATAAGGGTGCTGCTAGCAATATAACCGGAACTGAAAACAAACAAAGGAAAACATTTGACATTGGTTTATAAAACAAAAAATGTGAAAAAATTCAGAAAATATTACGAGAAAAAGGCGAAAATGGAAATTGAGCATATTGTAATATAAAAAATATCATGACATATCATCTTGCGTAGCGTTTAATTCGATACATATAACATAAGTAAAACAATTAAATATATAAACGAAGAATAGAGCAAAAAAATATTTAACATACATACATACATACCAAAAATATATGGGATCTATCAGTTGAAGAAAAAATACCAGCCGTAGTTAAGTTTGCTAGGGCGGATTCGCGTTCGTAAATTTTGAGAGAAATTTAAAACTATGAAAAATTAAAAAATTAAGCCAAGAAGAGGTCGTTGTTAATGTAGCTGGATAATGTAAATGAATTCGGATTCCAGGCAGACGCTGTTCAGTTTTTATGCAAGCCACTAGGCACCTGATCTCCAGTATACCTAGCCTGAAATTTTTCCCAGCTTTTTGAATGTGATAATCAAGTTGAATTTGTTAAATACATATACCATCTTGGTCATACGCGATTACATGTTGCATTCCTGTTTAAAAAAGGGGTTTCAAATCCAGAAATACTAGGCTCTATTAAGAGTGTTCGCTTGCATCGCAAACGCTATTAATTACTTAGCTATTTTTAACCCCTATGTATTTACCCTTATAAACTAGTTTATCCCTAAGAGTACTCCTAGTGAAAATATTTTTGATGAAGCCAACATCGATCAAGCAAGTCAAGATTTTGCATGTCCGATCCAGCACAGCCACTGGTGAATAAAATCATTGTTGAACTAGACTGTCCAGTGCCAAGGTTGATAATTAGTTGAAATTTGCTATGCCAAACACTGGCCAATTCATATTAAAGCAGCTAGATATTCAGTCTCGTGTTGAGTGCAAGTCGTATTTCGGTAATCGAGTCGTATCAAAAATTGCATGTCATTTCCTAGCATTTCGACTCGGCTAACTTCGCAGCTGGAGAATTTTGGACAGTTTTCGTCGTCTTCTTATTTCAGCACGAGGCTAATTCTCTACTACAGCTTTTCCATGATATAAACTATTTTGGAACTGTGCGCTCATTTCAAACTTAGGAAAAGTAGTCAGCTTCTGTGCTAAACCAGAGTATTGCATAGGGAATTCTAAGGGGATATTTTCTATTTAAAACTGTTAAGGCAAAATATATATCCTAGGCATCCTCTTCCTATAACTTGGCAATTTTACTTCAATTCGAATTTCTCAAAACGTTGTTCCTTAACAACTTTTCCTCTAAAAATATCTACACTGTGAACATGGCTTTATGCGAAGGTCATGCGGCGAATAGATCTAACTTATAGTGACGATGATAATGTCCTTTATTTGCAATGTTGTTTTTTGGGCGATTTTGTTATGTATGCAATAGGGGCCGTAAGTAGCAGTTATTTTTTGAACAGTCTATCCTGATAGTAAACAAACCGCTTATCCAAATTAAACAAATTTGGTACCAAATAAAAGAGGACTTAAATAGTTTTTTTAAACAGAAATAATGATCGAAGGCTACCACTTCTATTTATATATATATATTTTTTCTAATAATTTAATACAAAAGAAATGCATATACCTGACCCAAGGTTTGTTCTATGGTAATTAAAAAAAACAATTTTATTTCAATATTTTTCAATAGCTGGCTTTCTGCTGACTTTCCTCGTTTAACTATTTTTCAGTTTTAAAGCTATTTTAGTCTTTCAGTTGATACCAAACTTGTTTAATTTGGATAAGCGGTTTGTTTATTATTAGGAAAGGACTTTTATTTTCGACTTAAAAATATCTCGCCAAGTTTAGCTGTTGGAA